ATTACTATTACTATTACTATTACTATTGCTATTACTATTACTATTACTATTTTTTTTGGTATTATTATTGCTATTATTTTAATTATGGTCAGCTCTGTTGTCATTTTGATGCTGGGTGTTTTTGCAAAGAGAGTTAATAGTTGAGCTGCTTTCTTTTAGGATGGGTACCTACGTATTTTTAATTTTGAAACTATGGAGCTGACTGGCTTTATGAAATCGTATTTTGGCGGTTTATCATGCTTGTCTTGGAGTCCTGATTCAAAATACATTGTCACGGGAGGTGAAGATGATCTCGTAACTGTTTACTCAGTGTTTGAAAAACGTATAGTATGTCGAGGACAAGGGCACAAAAGCTGGGTTTCACAGGTTGGATTCATGTACTTATTGGTCTACTTCTTACTTCTTCACCTCTTATTATTCTCACACCATAATTGATTGAGCTACTTCAGGTTGCCTTTGATCCGTTCACCTCTCATGTTGAAAATCAACATCACTCTCCTGTGGATCTTGGTTCAGATGATGAAGTTCAGCCTCCTAACTTTGAAGGAATAAACCTGTCGCAAAAAGGTTTAGTTTGGAAATATGTAGCATTTATTGATTGTCTATTGCCCTTTGCTAACTAATGATTATAACTAAGCAGGATCAGGGGAGTGCTTTGAGTGCGAAAAGATATTAATACTAAAAAATTCAGTTTTTGAGACTGCGATGTTTTGTGCCATACAAAGATAGTTTTGACCGTAAATAATTGGTCAAAAAATGCCGAAAATCGTTTTTGAGAAGTGTCAGAGTGTGAGTTTATGTTTTGCTTCTTGTGAGTTTTGATTTATAAACAAAAAACTTCAGTCATTATTGTTAGATGCATTGCAAACTGCTGGTATGAGTGTGGTGTATGCGTGTATGCGCTTATGATTTCTTATCAGTAGAATGATAACATAAGATCTCTTTCTTCTTTATCAAAGATTTCAGGAGGATCAGTGATGCACGGACGGCATAAAAAGGACTCAGTCTCATCTACGTCAATGGGAGGGAATTGTTTACCTGGTCTGCGTCCCTCATATAGGTAAATTTCATTCTGCTGGATAGCAGTTGTTGTGGAGACTGTAGTTTTAATTGCAGGTTTGGATCAGTTGGTCAAGATACGCAACTTTGTTTGTGGGATCTCACCGAGGATGTTTTACGGCTTGCTTTACCCAGTCAGAGGAGAAGGAACTCAACGCTAAACTCTGTTGGGACGGATCAGGTACTGCTTAAGTCTAATGTATTTAAGAATTATTTTAAATTTTATTGTAAATTAGATGGTTGTTTGCTATTGTTAGAAATTCAAGAAATTCTATTTGCATTTTTAAACATGTTTATTTTGATGAACCTAATGACATTCAGCTAAGAAAAGTTATCGTTGATTTTTCTGAAATTATCAAGTTTTTGGTTGTCTGGAAGGTTTTTGTTCAATATTATTGCTTAATCTTTAGTTGAAGGAATTGATTTTTTATAGCTCGGTTCATCATTTATTTCATCTTTTCAAATATACTGTGCTAGTACTTCTTACTTAGTTAACGAGTTATGTGGATATAGTATGGGCAGAAGCTTTACATCATATTAGGCTACAGTTTTAAAAATATTGTGTTGCGTCATGAAGTTATTTCCCTTTCACATTTTTTTTTATTTTTTTTAGCGGTTAACAAATTAAAGACTGTAAGTTCCGCACTAGATTAATTCTCTTCCAGAAAGTGAGTCTGTTAATTAGGTTTTTTTATTATTTCTCATTTAAATTTCTTGAGATTTTTGCGAAATAGCAGTTCACGCTAGAGTAGATTATCTTATCCTGCGTAGGCAGTGTAAGCAGTTCGACAAATTTTACCCTGTAAATTGAAGGCACTATATATCTCCATATTTTGAGGATTTGCCTCTTATTTCGACAAGAATTAAAATTTTTATTCTTTAGCAAGATTTTGAAAAGAATAAACATCACGCTTTTTGCATGAAGAATACTTTACATGATGCACTGACACAATTGGTTCATTTGAAATATTCCTTTTTCCTGATTATACGTTAACCTTAACTTTATTTCCAAAACATGGCGTTATTCAAGCTCCTCTGTTTCCTCTCTAGATGTTATCTCCTCGCTCCTGTACTGGCGATGGTATGAAGATAATAAATATTGATGGTAAAGGTACTCTCAAGGGGAAGAAGTCACATAAACATGGCTTCAGTTTTGGAGTTAAATTGAGACGGAATTCTCACGACAGGTAAATAGTTTACTTTAATTAAATCATGGTTTTTCTGTCGTTTGAATTGACCTAACTAAGTATGTTTCTTGCATTGAACTCAAAACTTTCTGAAAATTTGGATAATTCGATTGCGAATAGGGTTCGGACTTTTGTTTACGTCATCAGATTTTAAAATTTTGTAAAAATTAAGTAGAAAAATCGTATTTCTTCGTGACATAATGAAAAATATCAGGGAAACATGGCAGAAACTGAGACAAGCAAAAGTTGTGAAGAGAACTCAGTTAAAATAGCAGTTTCTAGATTTGTTTTTCTAATCTTATTTATTAGTTTTTACTGAAGAATGGACTTTGCTGTCGGATTACAACGGAATAACATAAATTTGTTTCTTCCTTTCAAGTATTTTTACAATGACTTCTACGTTTGGGAAAGATTGCAAGGTTTCATATTCCGCTTTTTGTTTAGATGGGCTCGAAACCATGGCTCTACTTTATCTGAAAAGGAAAAAAGAGAGTGTGCAGCAGCTCGGCTTTTAGGCACCCCGGTGTGTCCTCATTTGGATGATGTGACTATCATTGAACCATTAGTATGTAAAAAGATTGCACATGAAAGGCTGACAGGATTGGAATTTAAAGAAGACTGTATAGTTACGGTTTGTCAGGAAGGATTTATTGTGACGTGGGCAAGGCCTGGAAAGGTAAATTTCAAGTTTATGTTGGCTCTAATTGCCAAGGTGGGAAGGGTTAAGTTGGCTTGAAAACTGGTTTTTAGGTGGTCACCAATCGCTGCAGTGTTATTTCACCCGTCTCAGTCTCGAATCAAAAGGTTTCAGAGGCCACTGTTGTTTAATATAGAAGTTGTTCTTTTTATTGTCTTGTTTTGAAGAATTGTATTATCAACAATTTTTGCTCATTTTTGTATTGTGAAACCAGTTTTTTTTTTTTCATGAAAATCAATGTTATGTATAATTTATCTGAAAAGCGTAGTTCTTGTCAACATGACATTTCTTCTCTTCAAAAGTTATTAGAAACTTATTCTTGAGCTGCAAAAATTTCCTACCGGTCATTTATTGCTCCATTTGGTCTCCGTAAAGTCTTTATGATGAAGTTGGATTAACTCATTTGTATATTATATTTGTAATTATAATTGGTTTTCAAGGAAAGTTATCTATTTTTATAAGTAGCGCTTCAGTCTTCAGCTTCTTGTCGTCATTCCACCGCTGTTACTTATGTATTTTCCTGTACGAGATCGTGCCATAATTTTGGGTTAGAAATATAGTTTTTAGGCTTACGAACACTAGTTTTCCAGCCGGTTTGAATGTTTTTTCTTTTATCCTCGAAGTGCTTTTACACCTTTCTGGCATAACGAAACATTAGTTCGAACTTTAAAATCAGTAATTTTCCAACCGTTTTTATTTCTTCGTTGTTATTTTTTCTTACAATTCAATCTTGTTTTTTTATCTTGTTTTTTTTATTATAGTTGTGCTCATCATATAATTGTGAGTTTTTGAATTTTTTCATAGGTAAGTCATTTGATTCTTCAGACATGTATAGACCTCATTTAGTTTCTTCATCCTGATATGGTCTGAAATTTGGGCTGCTTAATCTTAACTTTAGTGTATGGAATGATTACTGCATTAAAAACCAGTCAATCGCCTAGAAAAGCAGCCTTCTTTCTAGCCGTTTGAATTTCTCTTTCTTTTTAAAAGACATTAGATGAGGAACAATAATTTTTTTCAGCTGTTTGTTCAGTTATTTGTTTTTTACTCTTAATTTTCTTCGCATAAAGTGGTCAGTACAGAAAACGTAGTGATGCAGTATTTTGAACGCAGTTTGCCAGTTCGATAAAAATTTTTTCTTTGCCATTTCTGTGTTAGTTACTACAGCGTCAGTGTTTTCTTTCTATTAAAGTTGTTGATGTAATTATATGTAATATTGTAGTCCGGTATCCTACTGGAATGTTATTTGATCGCGATACTTACTGTTACTGTTGAGGTTGATTACTTAAAGATTTTCTAGCAAAAGTTTTTATGGTTATGTGATAAAAAAGCGGCCGAAATTTGATCCGAGAACTATGTTTTGATGCAGTTTGTTCAAAATTCCCAACTTATTCTCGTGTTCTCTTCATCGGACAACTTGTTTATAAAATTTTTTCCTTTTTTGTTCGAAAGCTTTTTACTTATCGTTATTAGTCTTCGAGGAGAACGGTCCACTGGTTTTATAAGCTCGAAATAGTTAACTATTTCAAATGCTGTGTCTCTCCACGTTTTTGAAATTGATGCGGAACGAGTACCTATGAGAGGCCATATAATTTTTAGTATTTAGCTTGAGGAAGGGGTTAAAATTGACTATTCTAGACACTGCTGGGATGGGTCAGTTACACGCATCAGAAAAAAATAAAGAATAGCTGCGTACAGACGGCTGCTAAATGGAAAGCAAACTCCTTTAGGTCGGGGTAACAGCGGGTTGTCTTTAGCAGGGGCAGAATTTGGTGGACAGGAAGGGATGTGATATTAATACATGCATCTTAAGCAGTGATCAGGTGTTCGGATCTGTTCTTATCTCGTTAAAAGTTAAAAGTACTGAAACTTTGGGAAGCTGGTTCCTTGCTTCCTGGAACAATTTATTTGTGTTCTACAACACATGATACCTATGTCACACCTATTTACAAAAGCGCTTGTGTGGACCTTATGGTGCTTTCAGAGTGAACTTGCATTGCTGCTTCAGAAATTTGTGTTTTTTCTTCAATTGATAGATTCGCCAAAAGCATTTCTCAGAGTCCATTTTGAAACTGGCGGACGATGCCACTGAATGTTTTTTGTGTGTGTGTCGTGTTTGTGTTCTACAACTTTTTAAGACAACCTCTTAGTCGATTAAATTAAATATGGTGTAGGTCGTATTTCCTTTAGATGTAATTTTACTTTGGTTGTCTTAAACAACAAATGCGTGTTTTTAGGACTTTTCTTTGGACATGTTGGTATACCGAATGCGTTAGAGTGTGCAGATGCCTCGATTTCTTGACTTACATAAGATTTCGCCTTGGAATTTAAGTTTACTGAGAAGTTGTTCGTCATGCAATCATGTAGTAGTCTTCCCACCGTCGTCTTATTCCAGGCCGCCTGTGTTCCTGTACAGCCTACCATTTCCGTGCAAACGTCATTTAACCTGGTTTTCAGGTCACCTCCATGAAAAGTTTAAGACTATTTCTTCAATTTTAAATGGTTGGTTTCTTTGCATCTATAATTTACTCGCCATTCTGACAAGAAATATACTAACTGAAGCTTTTTAAAAGTTGTCTCTTTTTGTCCGTAACTTTGAGTACCAGTCATAAATGATTAGTGTCTAAAGTTTAACGAATTTTGGAAACCAGAGGGATTGTTCATCTTTTGCTTTAATTCAAATTTTAATACGTTGTTTAATAACAATAACTCTATTAGGATTTGCTATAATCTGTCTTGTTTTGTAGCTTTTTTCTTAGGATTATACTTTTACAACATTCCCTCTTGTTGTAAAGTATTAAGTTACGTAACAATTTCCATTTTTCCTCCTGAGTTAGTCGAATTATTCGGTAATTTAAACAATAAGCTGCTGATATCATTTTTCAATTTTTTGAACGTCAGTTTAAAATGCTTCCAACTGCTGCAATAAAAGTAAAAGGAGTTGATCAAAAAGCTTTTTCAAAATCATGTACGCTTAATTTCAATTTTTTATTTGCTCATTAATTTTTTCAGTTCGCTCGCGTCAGTCTACCTCTTTAAATAATCGTAAGAAGCCTCCAGAAAAGGATGGAAAAGGTTGTCTTTAATTTTTTGCTTATTATTTGGATTTCCTTCCTATGCTTTTTCACCTCAGGATGTGTGATGCAAATGGTGCAATACGTTTCTGAAAATAACATTTTTTTTCTACCTTAAATTTATAGTGAGTGTTATTTTGCTGATATTAGAATGGAAAAGCAATTTCTGAAAGGGTATTGTTTTTCACTTTGGATTAAATGAAATTTTCATATTTCGCCTTTAATTTTTTGAGTAAAAGAAGAATCGCGTTAAAAATATTGGAAGAAATTTGAAAGTGTCATTTTTATTGTTTTTTACTGGTCTGTTAATTCAGGAATCCCACTATTTTTTCTGGAATTCAACTTTGACTTTAAACTGTAACTTTAAAATATATGCTTGAACTGACATTGGTATCATATAGCAAATTATACTTTTTAAAAAGCAGTGCATCCTTGGAAGTCTAAGTCAACAACCAGTGGAAGACTGAGGAGATTGTTGAATCTTAAAAAAATAAAATGGCTGTATTATTGGTTGAAAGCTTTTGGACCTTTGAAAAGTTTAACTTCTTTTTCCTTTTTCTTTTTGGTCAGAGATGTTTATTACTGATTTCATTCCTGTACAGTGGTAGATTCTAAGAGCTGAACTTTGAAGATTTTGTGTCGAGCTGGATTCACTTCACAAGCATTGAGACGTTACATTTTTTTCTTCTCTCTTTTGGAAACTAATCCTTATTAACTCTCTTTGAATACCTCTTGCGGAACTTAAATTGTTCTTCTCAGTAGTCCTGAATCTGTTTTACTGAACTTTGAAGTTATCAGGGATAGCTCAACAATTGGGTGTATGCAAATGTCACCTGTAAAAGTTTGGCTGGTTCAGATGAAACGAAAGAAGAAAAATTGTCGAGTACAGAGAGTGACGAGCAACAGGGGGATTTACCTAATAGAGAGGATGGTAATAAAGTGCTGCGAAATAGAATAATGTTGTTAGCAGCTTTTGTTTTTGGATGGTTTTTGACAAATTTGCTTTCTTCACAAAAACTTCAAGCTGATGAAATGACATGGAGCGATTTTGTTACCAGTGCTCTTCCCTCTGGTGAGGTTAGAAATGCTCATTATATATATTATTTGTCCTGAATTTGGTTCTTTGTTCTCGTTTTGTCTTCGTTGCAGCTTTTAAATTTTAAGGTTACTACTGTCGAAGTGTTAGGAGACAGCGAGTTGGCTATTGTTCATCTGAGTAAAGGCCCTGGAAATGGAAAGGTATATTCGCTTTTTCTCATCTTAATCTCTTGGTGTAGTGGGAATTAAACTTGGTGCTTTGTAAATTTTCTGATAACTTTTTGTAATAGTTTTATAGACACGATAAGATGTCTTGGTTTGATGTTTAAAACTAATTTCGTTTTTTTTTTTTTTTTTTGTCATTTTAACCTTGTTACTTATGATCTTTTTTAATTCCAACTTTTTTATGTTTACCACTTGCGGATTCCAAGTGTTAAACGATTGGAGGATGAAATTAACGCTGCTGTTTCTGCCAACTATTTCCCACAGTCAAAAGCTCCTCGTGTCGTATATCGTGACCAGGAGTTCATGTTAGCTTTTCTTTACTGCTTTTTTTGCCTTTTGAATTTTTTTCTATTCGAATCTTTACTTTAGTATCAATTTTCTCGCGGTTCTTTTATTTTGCGCTATCGCCTTCCTTCTGATACGTTTCTTCCGCAAGGGTGTCAAAATCAGTTTTGACATGAAGGATATGACAGTGAGTTGTTCACTTATTGCCGTATTATGCTTACACTTTCATATCTGTCGGAGGAAATTTCAGCTCGTTATTATTCGTATTCTTATTGCAGAAACAAATGTTCAAGCCGAACATTGAAATTATTGATCCTCATGGGAGCAAGAAGATGAAAATACATTTCAACGATATTGCTGGACTGCACGAGGCGAAACGGGAAATTCGGGAGTTCGTTGATTATATCAAAAACCCTG